TACTTAATTTGGGTTTTAACTTTGATAAGAGGATTAATTGTATATTGAATTGGGGTTTACGAAAAGATGATCAATTTCATAAATTTTTGTTCTTTGTTTATCTGATTTTGCAGTTGATTGATCCGGTGGACAAAACTGTTGATAGAGACTTGAAATTGATAAATGAGTTAGGTTTAAAGCTTATTTATGCTATGAACACTCATGTTCATGCTGATCATGTTACTGGAACCGGACTTCTTAAGGTTTGTTTCTCTTGATTGATATAAGTATTTACATTTCTACGGTTCTTCAGCTAATATCGAAAACTCAGTGGTCTCTCTTTGTTTGCTTTGTACTTAGACTAAACTCCCTGGTGTGAAATCTGTTATATCGAAAGCAAGTGGTTCGAAAGCAGATATGTTTGTTGAACCCGGTGATAAAGTATCGATCGGTGTTCTTTACCTCGAGGTATGGAAACAAGTTTTTAAACCGGTGCAATCACTGAGAAACTAGAGAGTGGTAATCGTTTCATTTTGTTGCAGGTTCGTGCTACGCCTGGACATACCGCTGGATGTGTTACATACGTGACTGGAGAAGAGGCAGATCAGCCCAAGCCAAGAATGGCCTTTACCGGGGATGCTGTTCTGATCCGTGGTTGTGGGAGGACCGACTTTCAGGTACACAAAACAGAGGAAAATTTGGTTATAATGAACCAAAAACTGCAATGTCGATGCATAATGAACCAAAAACCGCAATGTGGATGCATACCAATGGTGTTTAACTTACCAATGATGTTTTCCTCGGTGTTGCAGGGTGGAAGCTCGGATCAACTCTACGAGTCTGTACACTCACAGGCAAGTTTTTCACACTTTCTCTTCATTCCACAAGCTAAGTGATTCGTATTCGTATTTTTCAAGAATTCTGTTTCCTTTTATTAGATATTTACATTGCCAAAAGACACATTGATCTATCCAGCTCATGACTATAAAGGTTTCGAGGTAATGCAAAACGCAAAATTCATTTCACTTTGGCTTTTAAAATGAAAATTTGATTCATCCGCACAATGGCTTTACTCTATCTCTCTGTTTAATCTTTCAGGTAAGTACAGTTGGAGAAGAGATGCAACACAACCCGCGATTAACTAAAGATAAAGAAACATTCAAAACCATTATGTCAAGTAAGTTTCTTTTCGCTCTATATACGCGTAAGTATATTCCTCAATCCTCGGCTTGTAATAACCGCGGTTTTGCTTCTTGATTAACAGATTTGAATCTGTCGTATCCTAAGATGATTGATGTTGCGGTACCAGCAAATATGGTATGTGGATTACAAGATGTTCCTTCTGAAGCCAACTAAAAGTTCTACAGAATTATACTTCTCTCTTTCACTCTTCCTTCATTCTATATTTTACCAGAAGCCAATAAAACTCTCTTAAAGAGTTTGTTTGTCCAATAAGATCATTAGAAGGTTGTATCATTTAGAAGACTGAACATATAAAGGATTTGTTATGAACATGTTAAAACATATCTGCGTGTTCAACTTTTGTTTGGTTTCGATGATTGATGCAATAATTCAAATCAACATAATTTAGCTTTTTCTAACAACAACCACTCAACCATGTGTTTGCTGCCACGTGTCTCAACTTGCTAAAAACCTTAAATCCAATCAAACAACAATGTGCT